AAAAAAAAAAAAAAAAGTCAGATAGTGAAAAATGCTTGAAAAATGAATTCCCGAGCCCAAGGTGACGCGTTTCTTTGTTTGACAGAACTAAAAGGTTTTAAAACACAGAAAAGCAGCAATTCTACACATTTAAGAATTTAAGAACTGTTCAGTATTTAGTGTTTTTGTTTGAGAAATTACTTGAATCATTTATCAAAAATGTTGTTGATCAATTTTCTGTCAGAATCACTGGTTGTTTTAGGTGAAATTTGTCCCCAGACCAGTTTAACTTGAAGAAGAAGTTTTTAATTGTTGCAGAGACATCTCCATCTCTTGAAGTTCACTTTTTTCTATCATTGGGCTCTAAACATTATTCTGTGAGGTTATAAAATCTGCAACGGCAGAAAGATTACTGCAGCCTGGTTTGGAAAGAGACATATTCTGGTTGATCATTGTCTTTAGTGTTATTACTTGAAAAGGTTTTCGTGCTCTAATGTTCAGAAACACTTTCCTCAAACTGTCCATCGCTGCAGCTCCTCTTTTCAGCCTCTGTCTCAAACCCCCCCCCATGATAATTCCCATCCTGCTCTGATTGGCCAGCTCTTTGGAAATTTCTGCCTTCGCTCTCGCTTTGCTCGTTAGGGGGCGTGTCAGACTGTGCATTAAAGATGTTCCGATTCCGGCATAAGAGATTCCGGGTCGTGCATCGACGAGCATGTGACTCTGTGTGCTGATGCGATACCACGTCTTTTAAAGTTTACTGCTTTCACTCAGATAAAACTGCAGTTTTCTTTTTCCTGAAACAGTTTTTAGAGAGGCCAAGAAGGAGGGGTTTACGGTAGCGTTAGCCAGACGTAGCTAAACTAACGGCGGTGTGGAAGTTCTTCATGCTGGAAACAAGTAAAACGAGGATGTGAGCGACACAAGACTTCGGTTTGGAGCAGTTTAAAGGAAGAAGTTGTGTTTTCCTCGATTTATTTATTCTTACAGCGTTCGTTAACACACAACTGTTAAAATACGTTACGGTTATCGAAAGTCCAGGTTTCAGAATCACAAAGGTAGAGCTGGTATCGCAACATCTCTAGTGCATCATGCAAATGTGAGGAAGGATTGTCTGGACGAGAGAGAGAGAGAGAGAGAGAGCGAGAGAGAGCAGAAATCAGCCGTTCTTTAAAGTGAAAATGGAAATTAGAACGGACACACCTGCTCCGTCTGCTGCTGAGGATCATGTGTTACGACAGAAAGCTCCAGAACGTCTAAGTGGAGTCGCTGTTTGTCAGCTACATTTTGGAAACGTCTCATCCGACACAAATTAGTTGGAAACCGAATCCCTCACCCTGAAATGAAAACATCGAAATAACTAGCACCGAAATATGTTCATTTGGAAACATCTCTTAATTATTGTTATTGTTTTTTAGTTGTGCAACTGAGGAACCAGATTTCTTTAATATTGAACATTCACTGTTTTAATCCTTAAAACAAACACACAAACTTTTTGGTTTTTCAAAACGTCACCACGTAAAATGATCGCACAGCCGTCAGACAGGTAGTTTTTCAAAGTAAAATATTTCACTGATGTAAATTAAGTTTACTCGATTAAAGTTACTAATGCGACTCGAATGATTGTGACGTTTTGTTTCCGCTGTGGTCGGGGGATGGAACGTTGTGATTGTTTTGTACATTTTAAAGGGTCAATTCGTAGATTGTAAATAAAGATGGATGACGTGACAGCTCGCAGAAGTGAAGCCAAATCATCGCCCCCTGGTGGCCGGCTGCGGCTGGGTCATAAACCCCGCCTCCTCCATGTTATCAAATAGGACATGGACCAAAGTAAAAAAATCACACTGGACAGACTCTGGCTTCAGATGACGTCTTCGGCTCGAGATAGAATCCCTGGGGACGTCGTCCGTCTTTATTTACAATCTGTGGGTTCGATGGTCCAAGGCATTTCTGAGCTGTATTTTCCTTTTGTTAAAGCTTGACTCCGTGAATAGGACGAGTAACAACGGAAACTGTGGCTCTGACTCAGTGTGAGCGTGTTCACGACAGGTCGGGATCGGTTGCTCCTCCCTTGTGTTTCTCGATATGCTGCTGTTCAGTTTGAATCCCGACTTGTTGACTGTGTGTGAAACGGCCTCAGTCGAGTTGCTGGGGACTATTTTTCAGCGGCGGATTAATCCACATGTGATGCTCCGGTGAGTTTTCGGGGGCAGATATGTGAAATCAGTGATTCGTGCTCGTGTTGTTGATTTTCCTCTGAATCTGCTGACGCCAGAGTTTCACTGCTGTTTGTCCTCCTCGTGTCACGTCCTCGTTTGGACAGAAGGAGGCGTCGTTTCATGTCGTCACGTGGCGTCATGTCCGGACTCCGAGTAGAAACGAACACTGAATTAGTGCGACGTTGGTTTTCTTTCTTCTTTTTTATTATCAGTATTGTATTTATTTCCAAAGTACAGTGTTTTTGACTGAAGGCCACAATGAACAGAGGCGAAATGTAGATTTGTGGACGAATGCCTTGGATACTTGACTCATGTGAAATGTGAAAAAAAGAATAAAACAGTGTTACAGACAGTTTGTTTGTGTCTTTGTTGAACATAATGATGTCACCAAATCACAAATAAATAGGAAAGAGCAAAATAAACCTGTTTTCTGTCTAATTTGGTTTTAACTGATTGAACACTGTGGATGTGCGAATACGATCTTTATGTTTAGAATAAAAAACTTGATCGTGACTGAGCAACACTTATCTTTTTTTATTGAACTCCAGCAGTTTTACTCCGAAATAGATAGTTTCTGAAATTGTTTTGAAATGAAAAGATTTACAGATGAATGCAACTGTCAGATGAAATTAACTATTTAGTTTGAATTAACTTATTTTATTCCAGCATTTTAATTTAAAAAGGTCCCTTGTTCTGAGAATGTGATGAAAATACAGGCTCATGGAATTAAAACCTTCCTGGGAGAAGTTTTGGGACGAGGCAGCTTGAATTAACTGAACATGACTGGAAATGATCTTTTATTAATTATTATTTATTAGTTTGTTCCAAAAACTTTTTATAAAGTACTTTTATTTCAACTTTAATCATTTTATTGATCGATCTTCTTCCAAAAGCTGCAAAGACGATTTTATTAAATCAAATCAGAACTTATACTGAGATCCATTTTAATAACTGAGCATCTTCCTCAGTTGTGTACTTTATATACTGCGTGTTTGTTTATTCATGTATTTATGTATTTAATGTAGAATTTATATATTACACACTTTGGACCTCCGTGTTGAGAGTATTGATGCCATAAAGTGGAGCTACTGCAGTTCAGAGGTCGTGAGGTCAAGTTAACATTTGGATAAAAAAAATCCTCGATTGGTTCTTGACGACGGCGTGAAGATTAATTTAAAAAAGACAATCACACAGAGTTTCACATTTTAATGATTCCAGTTTACAGACAAGCTTTCCATAAAAACAAAACCACTGGGCAAGGCATGCATGAAGATATGTACAAGTATTTTTTTCCCCTCCCCGACTCACCTCACGCTCCTACAGCGTTTGAGAGCAGTTTACAGCGGATACAGTTCAGTGTCCCCAGATGTTTGATCTTATTCTATTAATATAGTTCCAATGATCCATGCAAGTTGTTTCAGTGATCTGTAAGACCTGAAAGAGTCGAGTTCAATATTACGACTTTCATTTTCTACAAACACCGTCCATTAATTCAGTACTGGCCGAAAGATTCTGTGTTTTCTTGATGCAGAGTCAATGAAACGAGCTTATTTTTTTTTACAGTGACTTCGAATCCGATCACGTGGAAATGATCAACAAATTGAAAGTAAGCATGACGTGAATATAAGACATTAGTGCCCTCAAGAAGGAAACAACGTTGGTCTGATTCTTAAATTGATCAAAAGTGTGATGATTCCGTTTGTTTAACCAGTTTGGTGTCAGACAAATGTTCAAAGAAAAATCCTTTCGTTTGAATTCTCCTCAGAATGATCCAGAAAAAAAAAGACTCAATTCTGAAACAATAATAATAATAATAAGACACTGACATTGCTTTTTAAGCTGCACTTTGCCGTTCTCTGTTCATGCAGGAGGCTGATATCAGACGCTGAAGTGCATTCATAGATTCAAAGACAGTTTGAGGTGAATAAAAAACTAAAACGTCAGAATGCATAAGGCAGAATTTTCCCTCAGTAGCACAACAGGAGCAAAAACAGCGAAACAACCCAGACGTGATGATCCTGTGAAGGAGAAACAAGAAGAGAGGACAGAGGTTTGATCAACTGTCGGTAAATGAACCGTCACCCAGGAAAATACCCGACGTGTTTGAATACGCTGTTACCTGTTAAGTCACCTGCTGAATGAGCCCTTTCTCTGGATCATGTTTATCATCCAGTTCCTCGTCAGAGTCTGAAAACAAGACAGAAATTCGGTGTGAACAGAAAACTGGAAAATAAGATTCAACCTTTTGATCAGCGTTTGATGAGGAGAGAGAAAACCAGTGTCACGTTTGCAGCCAGGAGGCAATTAGCTTAGCTTAGCATCAAGACTGGAATCCAGGGTAAACAGCTAGCGTGGCTCCGTCCAAAGGAGTGTTTCTAAGTGTCGCTGTGATTCCTGTGTGTTCTAGATGACTCAGCTGTTCTGTTGTTGTTTGCAGTTCGATTTAGTTGATTCATTTATTTGAGGAATGTCTAAAATGATCGGAGCTATAGAATTAAAATGAGAAACTGGGTCTGTCTGAGTTGAACCTGTTTCACCTCCGCGTCTGAGGAAGCGGACGTTTGTCGGTTCGGTGTGAGTGAACTGACCTGCCACAGACTCTGGAGGAGAGTAGAACTGTCCGTCAGACAAAGGACCCGGACACATGAGAGCAGGTCGCTCTGTGGCGTCCACGAAGGACTGATATCCTGGAAGACAAAAAAAAAAAGGGGGAAACATGAGAGGACCGTGACGACAGGAGAAGAATCGCAGAGTGTTAAAGCTGCACTATGTAACGGTTACTGAGCAACAGCGCCCTCTGCAGCCACACATGGGGATTTATTCTGCTGGGCTCCGTGTCCGAGCGATGACGTGCATGTATTTGTACATGAATGCAGTATTTTTTTTTTAACAGCACTAAAGAATTTAGTGAATAAGGTAGTGGTCAAAATATTTGCAGTCGGGTTGGTCGGAGTTCGACGACGGTGACTCACTGTTTTCGTCTTCGGCCTCCTGAGGCAGAACCTTGAAGTCGAGCAGCCATGTTTCAATCCAGGCCAACACGAAGGAGATGATGGGCAGCAGGTACCCAAAGGCCCCCTGAGACAGCAGCTACACACACACACACACACACACACACACACAGACACACACACTTAGCCTCCATCAACCAGTGCAGTTTCAATCAACATACATTTCTCATGACGTCACTGTGACCTTTGGCCGAATGATGCGAGGACATTCTCTGGAGTTTTTATCGGGGGGGGGGGTGCTGGCAGGAGAAACTCCAGAGAATGTCGGGAGATTTTTACAAAGTATAATAATGATAATAATAAAAAAATAAGAATAGTGATTCTTACCTTTGATAAAATGACCTTAACGATCAGGAAGGCGCAGCAGACTGCAGTGGTGACCTGCACAGACAAAAGTCTTTTTTCTCATCGCAGAAAATGTCGTGTAAACATTTGATAGTTATTAAATTAGTTTTTCTCATATTTAATCTAATCGTAATCTCGGGCTTTACTTGTGTGTTCATGAATTATATATAAAAAAATGTAAAGTTTGAATTCACACAGAAAACTATACGATAAACCTCTAAAATTTTAAAAGTGGTTGGACAGAATACCAGAAAAGAGCTGGTTGAACTTGAAATCATGAAAGACAACTTTAAAATCCACTTATTTATTCTGTGTTCTCCAGAAAGACAGATTTCTGGAATAAATGCAGGTAGAGATAAAAGACAAACTCAAAAATCACAAACTTACAGCGATGGCCCACCAGTGACGAAGCTTACAGACGGCGTAGGCCAAGATGAGCGCAGCAAACCTGAACACAGCCAGGAGCTGAGGGAGGGCAGGGCGTTACGCCACCGAGGAGGGGGAACAATTCAAGAGTGAAGAATTACAGATTAAAAAAGGGAACAAGGACATGAGTGGTAGAAAGGAAGACGTGGAGGGAAACAAATAGGAGAACAATTAAAAAGAATGAACGAAGCTGAACATGGTCTTTCTGAATAATGAAACAACGCAGGCCTCACAAAGATGTCGAAGAAGGAGGCGTGGTAGTCGTAGTGCAGGACTTCTTGATCCAGCTGCTGCTGAATGCCACCGTTCACCTGTCACACACACAGAGGACTGATCAAAACCACATCCAATCTTAAATCAATCACCTTTAGTTAACCTGAACAACCTGAACAACCTGAACTCCAATCACACGCATATCTCATACACTCATAGATATCAGTCCCTTACTGTTTTTATCAAGACCCATTTATGTGTGTGTGTGTGTGTGTATATATATATATTTATATATCACTAATGAAATTTAAGATCTATGTCAACTACAACAGATATGAAGGAATATCACAGCCACAAAATAACGGACACTTCCCAAGAAGATAAGAAAGAGAAGGAGAAGTAGCTGAGTAGAGAATAAACAAATCCCACGTGCTGTAGGTAAACGTGGTATAATCACCTCAAAAGAATACTCACGTAACTGAGACCTGCCTGAATACATGTGAGGTCTAGTTCCTCATGTTTGAATGAATGAAGAGTTTTTAAGGCCTAAAACTCAGATGATTAGATTCAAGACTTTTCAGAGACCCAGAGGAAAACGAGAGAGAAAAGGAAGATATGACTGTGGAGGAGTACCTCAAAGGGTTCACGCCTGATTAGCCCACATGTCCCTGAATTGTGATCTGAGACACATGAACATTTGGTTCCCTGGGTTTCTTACTTCTGCCCCTGTGGTGTCATCAGTATGAGCGGAATTGAAAACTTGTTGTTGAAGCAGTTCTGGTGACTAACCCGAGCTTTGGAATTTCCCTCCTCAGCAATGATTGACATATTATTCCTTTATGAACTCACTATCTCGAAGGTTTAAAGTTTTGTAGATGGACACGGGGTCAGCTTTCCATCACGTCATGGCTTAAGGCAACAAACGTGTTTGTCGGTAAAAGGCGTAGAATGAGCCCAACTGGTTTAAAATCACACACAGTCCGGTATCGTGGCTCTGGGCTGATTTCACTGTTAAAACCAGTCATTGGACGGTTCTTCCCAACAAAGATACACAAAGCCTGAGTCTCTCTGTTTACACACATGCTACTATTTCAGCACTCCAGGCTGAGGTTGTGGAATCCGGAGCATTGTGGGAATGTGCGTCCTCATTCGGAGCACAAAGTGTTACGGCTGCATGACCTCGATTCACCTCCGCCAGCAGCACCTGACCCGTTTCCGTTCCACACAATTCAAACACAAACATTTGACCATACAGAAGCATTTCTTTGTGAACAGTGATATTTGAGACGATTTGTCAGAGAGGGTTTTACAGAAAATGTAATAACCCATGATGAACCCTGTCGGCTGAATTCATCACATGACTCTGCTGGTTTACTGAACTGTGCCATCTCAAATACACAAGGACCCTGAGAGCAGACGCAGAACAAAACCAACCAGGAGAAGAAACAGCTGCCAAACGCCTGAGACCCAAAGTTATTGTTTTTCTTTCCTCCATTTTTATTCTGTGAACATAAAAGTTTATTCTGAGCACGAGGTGAAATGTTCATTAAGTACGTCAGTTAACCGACACTGTCTCCAATACAATTAACTTATTTCTGTTTTGCTTTTAAACATCTCATCAACTATTTGATGACTCAACAGAACATTTAGTACAAACTAGAGCCCGATGGATTTATCTGTATCCGTCAGGTTTTTCCAAAATGAAAACTTTTAACAACAATGCAGAAAATGTGTGCAGTTTTCATTTTATGTAAAAGTGTATGTTTATATATATGGTGGACTCTGAGGGACACACAGCGTCCTAATCAAACTCTCCCTGACTCGTCTCCCACGTCTTTTCTTTTTCAAAACTGAGATTTGTGGAACAACAGAGAACAATGTCAT